ATCACTTCTAACTTTTAAGATCTTTACTTCCATTTCAGATTTTACTTGAATGCAGAAGATGATAAACACTTCATATGTTTCATCTTTACATCGAAGGAATTTTACCCAAGTCCATCTACTGAAGTCATCAACAATGACCAAACCATATTTCTTTCCACTAATTGAAGCAGTCCCAATAGGACCAAACAAATTAATGTGAAGAAGTTCTAAGGGTCTAGAGGTGGAGACAATGTTTTTAGTTTTAAAAGAGGTTTTCACAATCTTTCCAACTTGGCATGCCCGACAGAGAGCATTTGTGTGATAGTCAAGATCTGGCAGCCCTTTAACAAGTTTTTGCTTGTTAAGTTTAGAGATTAATCTCCAGTTATCATGACCTAACCTTTTGTGCCAAATCCATTTCTCATCACTCGTTGTCATTAGGCAAACAACCTTCTGACCAGTTAACTCAAAAAGATTGATTTTATAAACATTTCCCTTCCTTTTCCCTTTGAATATAATGGTTTTATCAACATTAATAACTAAACATAAAAATTCTTAGTAAACATTACCTCACAGCCACTATTACACAATTGATTTATGTTGAGTAGATTATGTTTTAAGCCATCTACCAGCCACACTTTATTGATAAGAGTTTGGGAGTTACCAATGATACCTGTACCAATGATCTTTTCCTTCTAGCATCCTCCAAAACCCACATTTCCTTCCTCTTTTAGGTTCAGGGTTTGAAATATATGCCTTTCTTCTGTTATATGTCATGAGCATCTACTGTCTAGGTACCACGATTGGTTTTCCATCCTTTCCTTTATGCATATCTACAACAAAGATAATTTGAGATTTAGGTACCCATAGGATTATGGGTCCTTTCATGTTAGCTTTAACAAGTTCTTTCCTATTTTTTTTCCTTTTCCCATGTAAAATGGTTTAGCTTCACTCTAAACTTTTTGTTTCCAAAATCTTTAACTGGAGATATTTTTATCCTTAGTTACTAAACTAGTCTTAGCCTGTGATTCAGATGTTTTGAATACCGATGTTACCATAACTTCTAAACTATCAAGTTCTGATATTGCAATACCTTTTAACTTCTGATCAATAGGTTCATTAAAGTTCATAAATTTTACATTATTAGCAGCAGGAACAAAATAGTTACTTAACATTGTCTGAGAAGTGTTAAAGAAGCAAGAGTTCGGGAGTACTTAATGCAATGACATATTAGAAACTAGAACAACCTTCATCATGCCTCAAACATTCGCTATTATTTTTGGCAACTCCATAAATCATAGATGCAAGTTTAGTTCTATCAATGCCAGATGTAATGAACTTATGAAATGCTAGATCATGCTTACCTAGAGAGGAACATTTGTTTTAAGATGTGCTGATATCTTTTGATTCTTCTTTCAAAATGAGGTTATCTCTTTTTGAAATTTTAGCGACTGGCTTAATCTTTGCAATGATTCATAAGGTCATTAACGCATAATATAAAGTTAAAGTAAGAGTATACCTCATCTTCGTCTTTAGATTCGATTTCAAAATATTTCTCTTCTAATGAGCTAGCCACCAAAGCAAGATTGGCTTCATCTTTTCTTATGAATCTTCATCATCTAATTCTTCCCATGTTGCCATAAAGTTATTTTTGAATATGTTCCTAAATTTGTCTTTCTGATGACTTCCTTTATTTTGACTATCTTTCAAAAGATCAGGACAATTATATCTAAAGTGACCAGGTTTGTTGCAGTTGCAGCAAATATCATCTTCATCTTTCTCTTTGAAGTTAGATCTCCTATTGCATTTGGAAAATCTTCTGTTCCTTTTGTCCATTTGCTGAAATCCTTTGATGAAGCAAGCCATATCATCATCATCAGATCTACCATCAAAATCTTCTTCAGAAGTTTCATCAGGTTTACTGTTCTTTGAAAGCTTTTTGGACTTTTCACCAAAATTTTCAAAAGCAGATCTTAGGGCAAGAGATTTAAGTTTCTTTGAAGACTCATTTCTATTTAGTTCCATCTCATGGCTCTGAAGATTGGTAATTAGACTTTCATGAGACAGCGTATTCAGGTCTTTAGCTTCTTGAATAAATATTACTTTAGGTCTAAACTTTAAAGGGAGACTTCTCAGAATCTTTTTGACATGATCTGATGTAGAGTAACTCTTGTTTAGCACTTGAAGGCCTGATACAAGAATCTGAAACCTAGAGAACATGGTTTCAATATCTTCATCATCCTTCATTTTGAACAACTCGTATTTTTGTATCAACAACTTAGCTTTTGCTTCTCTAACTTGCTGATTCCTTTCATAGGTAGAGCATTGAGATTCAAAGATAGTCTTTGCAGAAGACTTATCAATGATTCTCAAATACTCAACACGTGGTACAGCATCAACCAGAATACCTGTGACTCTATGATGTTTTCTATAAATTTTCTTTTGAGCTGAAGTCAGAGTTTTCCTGTCAGATACCATACCAACATTGTCAATAATGATCTTAATGTCGTCTTCAAGTATATCCTATAACTCATCATCGAGTCCAATGATATACATGTACATCTTGCTTTTCCACCATTCAAATTCAGTGGAATCACTATTGAATACATGAGGTTTAGCAGAGTAATGGTTTCTCTCAGAGCCATGGTAATCATAGGGAAACCCCCTTCTTGAGATGCTAGCATTAGGATCCTCAGTAGTCATATTTTTCATGTTGGATCTTTGATTGTACCACTGTTAAGAGTTACGTACAAACCTTGCTCTGATTCCAACTGAAGGTGAGAAAAATACACAAGAAGGGTTGAATTGTGTTTGCCATATCGTTTCTACTTCTGAACCAAAGTTCAGAAACTGATAGCAAGTGCAACGAATAATGTAACAGAAGTAAATAAAAGGGCAAAGAACACACAACATTTATACTGGTTCCTTTCAAGTTGAGAGTAACCTAGTCCCCTTGCTTCGCAAGAGATTTCCACTATAATTAAACAGATTACAATTATACCTTCAAGTATAAGAATTTCCCTGCTCAGACCTACAACCTAAGACTTTCTTGCTTAATCAGCACCTGATCAAGACTTCACTACTTAAATTCTCATATCCTAAGACTTTCCTTGATGAAATGAAGAACTATAAAATGTTTTTTTAAATGAGAAGTATAATTCACACAAAAAGTATCTCACTGGGTGTGCCAATTTGTTGACTTGGAAATTTGATAAACAAAACAAGTTTATATTAATACTTAAGAGATTAAATTTGAAAATATCTCGGAACATATTTGTGTGAATCATAACCCTTTGACATCATGTTACTATGGAAATCGAAATACAATGTTTAGGAGATAATAATTTGAACTTGACTAAAATAGAAATGTAAAAGATTTTGAAAGCAAAATAACTGAAATCGAAATGTAGACTGAAAGTAAAATGACTAAAATTGAAATGTAATTCAAATGCAAACATACTTGAATTTAAAATACTTGAAGTTTATAAATGTGGAACGCATACATATATTTCCTCACTCGTTTCTCATTCACACATATACTTTGAGTATGTAGAAATTTGAGTACGATTGCGGATCCTTACAACCTAAACAAACGTTTACTTATACAGTAGTCTAGAATAACTTCCTACAACGATCTACTAAACACATCATAACACGTTTTACTTTTATGCAGTTGTTGTCTTCGACGAACCTTCACGTGTCTTTGATTAACCACTTAATCTTATCTAATTTCCGCTCTTTCGATTAAGTAAAATAACTAACTAAAACATTTAGAAATTTCACTAGGTCCAAAGATTCTACAAGTACTCCTTGACCTCCAACTACACGATTCGACCAAAATTCCACATCACCCTTTGACATGTCAGAATCAACTTCCCCTATGGTCTTAATTTACCATGTTTAGACTTCACCTCTTACCATATTATACTTATATGTCTTACTTGCAATTTATATCTTATGTCAAAAATCTAAGGTAGCAGATGTATATCCCCTTTTTCCCCGAGCATTTGGATGCAAGTCGTATAACTTGTCTTTCAGATGCTTGTCTTCCGTTAAGGAATCGTGACTCAATTCCTCTTATATATTTTCTAAATAAAAATCAGATGAAAATGACTAATTTGATGTATATTCTATTTTTCCTCTTATATATTTTCTAAATAAAAATCGGATGAAAATGACTAATTTGATGTATATTCTATTTTCTCCCGAGTATTTGGATACAAGTCGTATAGTCTGCCTTTTGAATACTCGTTTTCCACCTAAAAATAACTCCAACCAATCAAACCTACTTTTTCGCCTTATCACAACTAAAAACTTTTCATAAACGAACGATGTTTCATCCACTCTAATGCAAAGCACAAATAACACTTCATTCCTCCAATGCACGAGTAGCAAGCAACATTTTCTGCTTGAATGCGACCTAAAATGATCTTTTATCCATTCCGACTTGAAGCACAAACAACACTTCATTTCTCCCAAGCACGAGTATCAAACAACGTTTAATCACTCGAATGCGACCTAAACATATTTCACTAAAATCAATCAACAAACGAACATTTGCTACCTAAAACTACGTAGCTTTGAATTCTCCATCGCACATGAGGATACGTAGGAGCAAGATTCAACATTTTGTTAAACACCCTAATAAAAAACTTATTTTTTTCCATTTCTTTTTGTAAAAATGTCGTAATAATGAGAAGAAATTAAAAACACATTAGGCTAACACTCTTAATCACAAAATTAACTAAAAGATTTACATTGATTACAACGAATGTCACAGGGTACTAATATATTTTTCACGCAAAATCAACTCTTAAACATTAATTTAATTGCGATCACCATATTTTTGTTCTTTTATGGTTTTAGACGTTTCTCTTTTAAAAAATAAGATTGATTAAAGATTGAAAAGTGATAGTAGAGGAGAAACAAGAGCCACAAATGAAAAGCACATAAAACATGAGTTGGTTGGAAGTGTGTGTATATGTGGCGCGGTGACAGGCGACATAATCGGTAACCAAAAGATGGGTTTTGTAGGAGCAGCGACTACCTCACTCCACTCTCCGCTGCTATACCCATTTCTCTTCCCTTATTCTTCTTCATCTTCTTCTCGTCGTCATCGAAATACTAACCCCCGTTCTCCCGTTGTATGTTGCTCTCACCATCACCACGATCCAATATGCAACAAAAGGGCATTTCTTTTCATGGGTGTCGCTGTTCTTCCCTTTCTCCAATTCGACACTGCTCCTGCTCTTGAAGGAATCATTCCATCCCCAAGTATGTTTCTTCCATTTCAATCTTCAGATTACTCTATTTGCTATATTTATGGACCAATTGATTATTATTATTATTATTATGACATTTTCATGTTTGGGTGGGGGAGATTCATATATCAATGTTTCGGATGACGTGGAGGGAGAGTGTATCTCGTTCTAGGGTTTGGTTAGGTTAGGTTAATCGATCTATTGCCATTCTAATGACATTACTACATATCAAGTCTTTATTTTAATAACATTTTTGGTTTTTTGTCTCATTTTTCAATTGCATTAATTGCTTTGAATCTTTCTTATACTCTACATTGTAATATGAGATAAATGTTTACTAAAAGCTATGGTTGGAATAGGGAAGTTAAGGAGTGGAGTGATAAGGAGAACGAGGGTTGGATCTCCATTCCAATATAATACTAACAATAGTAACATTTGTTGTTCAAAATGTTTACTAAAAGCTCAATTAACGTGTGTAAAATATTTGATGTCAAGGGTATATAATGGATAAAATTTCAACTTTATACATTAAATAAGCTTCTTGGTGTTGGTAATTATTGTAATTTTTTCTTATATACGTTAGAGAAGACATGCAGATTCTGTGGTAAGGAGAGTAGATTAGATGGAGATGAGTCAAATCGTAAGTGATAGAGGAACACCTAGAAAAAATTTAAAGAAATTATTAAGAAAGATATCGAGATTAATATTTTGGATAGGAGTATGGTCTTGGATCATAGAACATTATGGCGGAAGTTGATCCATGTAGTTAGAGATCGGAGGTAGTATTATTTATTGTCTATGAAGCATGACACTTGGGTTTAGGCGTATCCGCATGTTTGGCCCGCGTTGGTGTGGGTTGGAGATTCACATTCTTTCTACACATGTTCTTGGCTTCGACACTCCCCTGATTCTCTTTGGATACAGTGAGAGTAGACACAACTACTTGTTTTAGGAAAACAGAAACAGACATAAAATGCTTTTAAAAGTTATAAAACAGTTTTAGTTTGGCATTTGAAATGTCCCTCGTATAGAAGTCTTTATCTTCTTTGGTTTTCATCTGTCTTTCCCAATTTCCCATCTTCAATTCTTCATTTCCGGTCTCATAATCGCCTTTTTTACAGTCCTCGTGTTCATTTCATCTCGTGTTCGTAGACAGCGGCTCCCTTCATTTCGGGACTCTGTTCGCAGTCGACGTCTCCGCTCTATTCGCAGACAACGAATGCTTTCCGACGATGTCCCGTTGCCTACCTTTAGTCTCAATGTCTCCCTCTCAGACGTTGTCTCTTCCTCATCTGTATCTTCACCTGCTTCTGCAAATTCAGGTACCTCTTTGTTTGGTTACTTGATGATTTTAGTTGTAGTTTGATGATGACTTAGTTTGAAAGTTAGTCTTCAATAGTTTCTTTGCTTTTTATATATTTGTCAACATTTTAAAATGTTAAAATAAGCATTTGTGGACTATATTTTAAAACATTTTATAGTCATTTTGATTCTAAATTTAGATATTTTATTAGATGATATTCAAGTTCAATTTGATATATATAGGTGTCAATGTCCTATATATTGAACATTAGCAGTGTTTGTCCCGTCGCTGATGCCCGTGTCTATGTTCATGCTTCATAGTTTATTACAAACTAAGTCATGTGTACCTAATAGAGTTCGTCTAGGTCCGCAAGTGAGGAAAATGTGCACAAAGCTATTCCTTACTAAGAATTCTTTTGTTCGACCCTTTGTGAAAAATAAATTCTTTGAAGAGAGGTCTTACTCTTGTTGCTCTATCGGCCTCAAATAGGATTGTCCACTAAGAAGATTCGTGTGGATTTCATTAAAAAAAAGTCGTGTTGTGTTACATTAATTTGTAAAAGCTGAGTGCATGCGGATTATTTATGGTAATTAGTAATGTTAATAGACGTTTAATTATCTATACCATTTCTATAACTTGATAGAGAGATCTAAGTCAGACACATAATTTGGACGGGTGACATAACTATTAGTAGCAAACCAAAGTAATTAGTATTAGTAGTTGTCCTGGATAGAACATCATGGTGAAAGTTGATCCATGTAGCTGACCCCATTTAGTGGGATCAGGCTTGGTTGTTGTTTTTGTTGTATAACTTTTTTATTCATGGTCTGGATTATACTTGAGAGATGCCCTGTCATTATGGTGCGCCATAGAAAATTTTGAAAATAAAAGGGAAGTGTACTCTATATGTACTCAAATGCATGCCTTACCCAAATACTAAATACTTGTTCGATTGAATATAATGCATTGTTTCAAAGTATAAGATACAGATTGAAAGTAATTTTAACTTACTGATTTTAATGAGAATTTTTAAATTCTCATACATTGTATTAAAATAAAGTTAAGTTTGGACATTGCTTTTCTTTCTTGTTTTGCAAAAACATAATTGATATCATATTTATTTTCTCAAAGTCTAGCATTAAATGAGATATTATCTAAAATATGTTTAAAGGTTGGAGGCATCTCGCACCTTACAAGCCATTTTTTTTAAAGATTAAGTTAGATACAAACCAAATTTTAATATGGTATTAAAATCTATCCAATATCTGTTGGGCTACCATATATATGACCTGAAAAGTTGTTTAAGTGGGAGGCATTCTTCATCTTACAAGTCGGTAACCCTAATTTACGATAGTGGATTATTATTTCTAATTATTTTCAAACTGCTTAGGACAGTATCACAGGGTTCTTATATTTAGTAACCGTGTAATTATCCATTCTACTTTCAGAAGAAAGTGAGGTGAAGATACCAGAGGATAAAAAGCAAGCAGAGGTTTGTCTGCTGTCAAATTCTGATGCAAATGTTGAATATTAAATTAAAATTTTGCCACCAATCGTTAGTTGGTCCAGTGGTGATTGGTGCTGGATTTAGTAGGGAGGACCATGGTTCAATCCCCCGCAACTGCGATCGGAAGGGGGCTGGAACCACTTGATGCCAGAATTGACCCCCGAACCGGATTAGTCGGTCCAGTGGACCGGATACTGGTGGTGAAAAAAATTAAATTTTTGCCTGTTTTTGTCGTTTGGATGTATGTTTACGTATTCTAAACTTAATGCTTCTATTATGGACAGACAGCACCTGAAATGCAGAAACCATCAAGTTCCTTAGTGTCTCTTCTGAATGGAATTGGAATTGTATCTTCTGGTCTGTTGGGTGCTCTTTATGCACTCTCTCAGAAAGAAAAGTCTGCTGCTGTTGCAACAATAGAAACAGTAAGCTTCTATGTACTTCATTTTTTATTCTCGATAACTGGTATGACATGCATTGGCCTTTAAGGAATGTCTCTCTTCTAAGTAAAGTCATATGGTTAAAGAGGGAAATGAGGGATTATTCCCCCTTTCTCATAATTCTAGAGGTACGGTGATGGAGTGAATAGGCAAATTGCTTCTCATAATTGTAAACATTGGTCAAAATAGACCCTCATTTTTACGAATTGGCAAATACATCTCCGAAATTGTAAAGTGGTGTCTCTGTTAATTTCTATTGTTAGAGGCTATGATATGTCAACAGAACATGTCACATTGCATGTTGATCCCACATCAATGCCAATTCGCTGAAGACTAATTTACCGAAGTAATTTAGGTTGTCTAAAAAGACAAATTTGTTAGTAATTGAAGTTGTGCATTTACTAATTAACGGTAAAATTTAGCATGGAAGGGGCACATATTTGGTTAATGTCAATGAAACACGGATATGATAAGGGTATCAATTACGATACGTAGCCGATACAGAGATACGTCAGTTTTTGAAAAATCTAGGATACGCTACGTTTAAGATACATATAAAAAAAATTAAAACTAAACATTAGTTATCATTCTATAACAAGAACCAATTGATTTGCAAAATTTGATAGTAATTGGTAAAGGGGTTATGAGGAAAAAAAAAGATAGTTAAAGTTGAGAGAAAGGAAAAATTTGATTCTTTGTCGTAGAAAAATGAAAGTGATGAGGTAATTAAAGTTGAGAAAAGAAGAATTATGGTTGAGAAAGATTGATTCATGTTCTAGAAATATGAATAGTCATGAGATAAACTAGCCATATCTTCAGCGTATCGGAGACGTGTCGCCGCCATACCGAGACATATGGTAATTTATTATTTTTTAATTTTTAAATAAAAAATTCGGATACTCCTTCGATATGTATTAGTGACGTATCGGTGTATCAGTACGTACCGAATACGGCATAGATTTTAGAGTATCCGTGCTTCATGGGTTAACATTCATTGTTAACAGTCAAAGTTAGTGTAGGGACTATTTTGACTGGCATTTTACAGTATTAGAGTATTACCAATTCGAAAAAATGAGGGACTATTTTGAGCTTTGCTTATAATTTTGAAGTCCAATTTTAACAATTATTGGTTTTTTTTTATCTAGTTTGATTTTAGATGGTATTTTTTCGAAGAAAGATATATAGTATTTATGTTTTATTTTATTGGCTAACGTGCACAGATGAACAACAAATTGAAGGAAAAAGAAGAGCAAATTGTTTCTTTAAAGAGGAATTACGAATTGAAGTTATCAAATGAACAGGAGGAACAAGCCAAGCTACTTGGAAAGGCAAAAGAAGAGCAGAATGCACTGATAGACCAACTAAATTCTGCAAAGAGTACCGTCACTGGTTTGGGAAATGAGCTAAAAAGCGAGAAAAGTTTGATTGCCGAGCTGAAACTTCAAATTGACAGGCTTGAAATTAACCTTTCAAAGACCAATACGGATAAGAAAGACCTTGAAAACAATTTGAAAGAAAAGGTAGATTCTATTGAAATTTTACAGAAAAGAATTGATCTGCTGAGTGAAGATCTTAAGGACAAAGAAAATGCCGTACAGAATCTGAATTCATCCCTTGCAGATAAGGAGTTGGAATTGAGGAATTTGAATTCTACTTATGACCAAACCAAGGATGAGTTATCCAATACTCATGTGCATATTCAAGGGTTGAAAGATGAAATACTGAAAAGCCAAGAGAAACTAGAAGGAAAGGATTCCTTGTTGATTGAACTAAATTCGAGAATAGACGCGTTAACTCTCGAGAACAATAACTTTAGGAGCGAATATGATGTATTGGAGAAGGAATACAATGACCTAAAGTTGACTACTGAAAAGAAGGCTGTTTTTGATGCTAAGGTTTTAAAAGAAAAGGAAGACGGGCTTCATCAGCTAACGGATAAACTTGAACTCGCCCTAAATGAATTGAGCAAAAACCAGGTAATCATAGCTGATTTGACCCAAGAACGAGAAGGTTTAAAGGAGACGCTGCAGAATGAATCTAAAAAAGTGGATAATTTGAAGTATGAACTTCAAGTAACTCTGGAGAATCTTGAAAATTCAAGAAGTGACTCTTCCGAACTTGAAAAACAGCTGAATGAGTCAAATAGTCTGCGCAGAGAGCTTGAGCTTCAAGTCTCTAACCTTTCAGCTGAGCTCACCAAAGTTAAGGAGTCACTACAGTGGAAACTCGATGATATGAGTCTCGAAGCTGAAAAACTTGCCAATGAGCTAATGACTGTAAAGGAACATTTGAAGAAAGCAGAAGCTGAGCTGCAGAGTACATCACATGAGCTAACTGCTACTCTTGAAAACCGTGATACGCTCCAAAGAGAATTAATTGAGGTCTACAAAAAGGCTGAAGCCACATCAGAGGATTTGAAGGAAGAAAAGAAGTTAGTTACTTCTTTGAACAAAGATTTACAAGCTTTGAAGAAGCAAGTCTTGAAGGACAAGGAGTCGCGGAAAACTATTGAATTGGATCTCGAGGAAGCTACCAAATCACTGGATGAAATGAACCGAAATTCAGCGATCCTTTCTAATGAGCTAGAAGGTTCTAAATCTCTTATTTCTAGCCTTGAAAATGAGAAAGAGGTTCTTACAAAATACCTTACAGAACAAAGAACTGCAAGCAAAGAGGCTCAAGAAAACATTGAAGATGCTCATAACCTCATCACTAGACTTGGCAAAGAAAGAGAGAGTTTAGAGAGAAGAGGGAAGAAATTGGAAGACGAATTGGCTTCTGCCAAGGGTGAAATATTGCGGCTGAGAAGTCAGATCAATACTTCAAAACCAAAAGATGTTGTTAACAATGAGCAGCGAGTACAAAAAAATGAAGGCGAAACCCAAGAAGCCACTGTAAGTGCACGGAAGAATGTTCGAAGAAGAAAGACTAACCCTTCATAACCAAGAAAATCGAGTGGTTCGTATTAAAAAATATAAAATCATGATTGAAGAGAATGATATTCTGTGATAAGTTATTTGGAAGGAAGTTTGGTATTATTGCACATTATTCACTTTGGATAAGTTTTCATGTTGCAATAGTATTGTACAAATGAAATAACACACAGTAGGAATTGCTGAGGTGAACTTTTAGGAGTGTTGATTTGTAACATTTTCATAATAACCTGAAGAAAAATTTTTCAACTACATTTTATTTGCAGGCAATGTACAACTATTTTTTTTATGTATGATAATTTCCAAGCATGTGATGAAAAAGTTCTCATTAGCATGAATATTATATAATCCAAAGGCATTTTACTTGTACTCAAAATGAAGAAAAAAATTAAGAATTAAAAATGGGGTTGCTCATCACTCTTTCTTAGGGGTGAAGTAACTCTTGTAAAACTCAAAATTGTACTTCTAAAATCCAATATTCTATAGCAGAACGAAAGTGAATTAGCAAATTACCGTGTTCGCATGGGTAAATTTATTTAATACGATATAGATTTTATTTAGATAATGTAGATTTAAAATGAATTATCTGATTATAAAATGAATAATGATAATATTAATTCAATTTTAATATTTAAAAATAAAAATTTTGTTTCTTAAATAAAGATAATTATTAATTAAAATAAATAGGTATTTTAATGCCAGTGACACGTGAGTAAAATAGAAATTGACATTTGAAAATAATAATTGTGCTTTAAATAAAGATAATTGTTAATTAAAATAAAATAAGTATTTTGCTGATAGTGACCCGTGAGAAAAAGAGAAATTTTGACATTTGAAAATAAGATTTTTTTTATCTCAAATAATATAAATTATTAATTAAAATAAAATTAATATTTTTCTGATAGTGATATGTGAGATGAAAAGTTAGTTGCGTGTCTGATTATTGAGTAATATCTAATTTCATAAAGTAAATTTGAAATTAGTTATTTAATTATAAAATGAATAATGATAATATAAACTTAATTTTAACATTTGAAAAAAAGAATTTTGCGTCTCAAATAAAGATAACTGTTAATTAAAATAAAATAGGTATTTTGATGATAGTGGTTTGTGGGAAAAATAGAAATTTTAACGTTTGAAAATAACAATTTTGTGCTTCAAATAAAGATAATTGTTAGTTTAAATAAAATTGGGATTTTGCTGATATGGCTCGTAAGTAAAAAAGAAATTTTAACATTTGAAAATAAGAACTTTTATCTCAAATAATGAAAATTATTAATTAAAACAAAATATTTATTTTTCTGATAGTGATATGTGAGATGGAAAATTAGTTGTGTCTGACTATTGAGTATTATCTAATTTCATAAAATAAAATTTTAATTTTATTAAAATTTAAAAATAGATTAATTAATATTTTTAATAATAATAAATAAATAGAATTGATTAAATTTTCCGTAAAAACAAAATTAAATGTCAATATTGTATACATTTATACACTAATAAATATTTAATATGATAATCATATACTATAATTACAACGATTGGAATAAGATCATGTGTCAGTTGAAAAAAAATTGAGACATTAGTTATTTTTTTAAATCTTTTATTAATATAAAGGAAACTGCAATTTAAGTAGTTTAACGTTAGTTAATTTTAATAGATAGATAATTGATACTTAGAAAAAATTAAAAGAAAAAGACAATGAAGTGTTAAAAAAATAAAAATGAAAGTGAGAAAGTGTAGGAAAAAGAAATATGAAAGATATTTGAAATTTGAATTAAAAGAAGAGAATAAAGATAGAGAACAAGTTGAAGTTTAAAAATGAATGATTGAAATGATGTCATGTGTCACTTTATGGCAGAGTATATTGAAAAAAAATTGAGATATTAATCATTTACTTTTTTAACCTTTTGATAGTGTAAATTAAAGTAAAGCAAAGGATAATTTAGATAATTTAGTGGTAGTTGATTTTAAAAGATAGATAGTTGATTACGAGAATTAACCTCCCCCATTTATATCTGCACCTCCCCATTTGTAACGAAATTTCAGTTTTGCCTTTTAAAAAATTTCGGAAAATATGAAATTTCCGGGTTGATGCTAGAAATTTCATCATTATACCAAAAATTTCTCAGAAATTACCGTGTCAGGACTTACATTTGACACATACCTGAAATTTCAAAAAAATTGGTAAAGTTATACCGAAAATATAATATTTTCGTAAAATGGACAAATCTTTCGAAAATTTAATATTTCCAGTATAATGAAAATTTCAGAAATTCAAAAATTCTGGTATGTGTCCAGAACTTTTAAAAAAATTCATTATTTTTGCCACATCGCCCTGCATAAATGGTTTCACATATAATAAATACATATTGTCCACAAGATTACATAGAAAATTAAGATAACTTTCTAAGTTCTTCCTCCCAGTGCCTAATTTGTCCTGCATATACTGATTCTCATGTTTTTCCTTCTTCAGTACAGTTCTGTCTCCAACGATTAATGATGGGAGGCAATGGCTATCGGGTTTGAATTTTACTTGAACCCAATGATTGTCGTAGACAAAACCAACAACAATGATTTTATGTTTGCTCGTATACATAGGTGAAGCTATGGTAAGAGGGAAAAAAATAATGTTAAGTCTCTGTGACAGGGAGACAAAGACGACATTGTACCTACTTGCAATAGGGTAACCCATATCAGGAATCAACATCTATTTATCTCTACCCTGCACACCCAAGTGTTTTACTTTTTAGAATTTTCTAACTTCAATAACTGTGTCATAGAACAACTTTGGGTATTGATGAACTTGAGTATCCAACTGCCTCCGAACCAACGACCATGACTCTTCGTCCCATCCAAGTAAAGCTGTGATAGCCCGAAAACCACAATTTTCATCGTCACCCACATCAACAATGTCATCAATGTATGGATGCAAGAAATCAGAAAACTGAGACATGTAAAGTTGCCTAGAAGATACATTGGATGGTTGACTTTGACCCGACATACTTGACAGTTGACTTTGACTCGACATACTAGAAGGTTGACTTCCTATTGAGTTTGTGCATGATCTTTTTGTAGTCTGACTCCCTTGCGAGTCCTCACCATACTCCCACTGTGAGGGATCACGATGCACACCACTCTCTTCACCTTTTCTACTCTTCTTAACTCCCTTATTTGGATTGTACTTCACTGGCGGTGGACACATAGAAGTTTTGGATAGATGTGTTAGTTCCCGAACCTTTTTCTTTAATACCCTCTGGCCTACAATATCCAAAGAATTGAAATATATCTTCAACTCTTCACATTCAAATTCTAAATCCAGCTTTGTGTCACTATCGTCATGACCGTTAGCATGCTCTTGAATGTGTAATTTCTTCCAAAAACATGAGTTGGTTCTAAAGGAACAAGCAAACCTTGTATTTGGAAACCAGCAAGTTGACACGCATAAGGTAACCCATGTGTAGATCTAATGAAGCAACCAAAAATATCCTTGTTTGTATCAAACTTTACCATTTCTAACTCTTTTCCTATGTTCTGTATACACTGCCTTGAAACAAAACCGTGCAAGTTGGCATAGAATGGAGTGTTATACTGATGTTCAATATTGACAACTTTTTTGAAACGACACTCTGATTAAACCTAGTTGCAACTTCAGCATGGTGTTCACAGCATCCTAACTTCGGCATAAATCTCTCAGCTTGTAGTCAACATGTTTTTCCGTCTCAAATGAGCAGACTCCACCCTAAATCACAATAATTAAACTATAATGAGACAACATGATAAATTATGCTTAGTAATTATATCAAAAAGAAGTTGGTGTACCCGTTCGTTGTTGTGTTCCCTAAATGTGTGACTCTTCTAGTCCAAACAGCCATAAACCTTTCTTTATAAGGTGTCAATCATGTTTCATTCACATACTTAACAAACAAAGGTATATCAACATAAATAGACTCAAAGTGCTTCAAGCGAGCGAGATACTCGGGTTCTCTATTATCATACATGATGTTGTTCCCTATATCCATGACATGTTCATGTGTTTTTGATTTAACATACACCTTACATTTCATGTTAACATTATAGGTAATATGGAATGAACATAACAGATGTGTTAAATTTGGAAACACAACTTGAATTGCATTCATCAACGTAAGTTCTCAGTCTGTCATAACAACATTGGGTAGCGATTTCTCAAAAGAAAACAACTCTTTAAGCTTTTCAAGTTCCCATGTGAAGTTCTCTTTCCTTTCATGTTCCAAATAGGCAAAGCCTACAAAAAAACGTCAATTTTGTTGATGTTACGCCAACAATCTCAAGCAGTGGTAACCAGTTGATGTATGTTCACAATTCAAATAATCAAAAATCGGATAAACCAAAGTATGTCAAAATGGTATCAAGGTATGATCAAGATGCACATTACCTATTGGTCTTGTATGTATAATAAAAAAATGAACACCAAGTGAAACATATTCAACAACTTCACTGAATCAGGATGTATCCAGAAGATATCAACAACAACATTTGAGTCTTCCATATTTCTTGTCCAACACATGTACTTTTCTTTATGAATAAGAGTCAACAACATTTACATTTTCGTCAATGAACCTCTCTTGCTCGCATTGTATGTAGCTCTAACTTTATACACTTGGGTAACACTGATGAGGTTTTTTGGATCTTTTTCTTTCAAGGCAGAAACTATGTACCGTGGAGCCACGTTGTACTTCGTCATGTCATTCGCAAACTGTCTCTCATGATCTTTAAGACGACCCAATATGTCATGACCATCTAAATTCTCAGATAGTTTATGATTATGAAACTCACATCTAACCATCACCTTCCAACCAATACAACTTGGTGAAGATCTTATCCTAAAAGGACATTTCTCTTTCATACTATAAATGTCATATGAAGATTTACTACTTTCAAATGTATTTTTTCTTTTATAATTTTCTCCTCACTCAAAACCCATAATCAATTTATCCTTCCTACCTCACTGACCATTTGCAGTATCA